AGGCCACTGCACCAAGGACAGATGCTTGCTAGCCCACCTCGGGTTGTCTGCAGGACATACCAGGGTGAGGAGAGCAGAGCTCCCAGGGAACCCCTTGGCAGAAAGCAATTTTTTCCCTTTGCAGATGGTGACCACTTTCCTCGTCAAAGGGGCTTTGTTGTCTCTGCTTGTCTGCCCACTTGGCACCCTGCTCTTATGCCACTTTCAGTTCCTCCACTCATCTGACCTTGGAGCTACTGTGCTATGAATGTGTCAGATGGGAACATGGAATCAGTGCTGGCCAACCCACCAACAGACCGAGCTATTATTACAGCAGGCACTGATGTGAGCAGCCGCAAAAAAGAAAACAAATTTCTGGGCTCCTCATATGTCCAGAGCTATCTGCACATCCTGTGTCGGGTTAACTGAAAACATGTGGTCAAGTCCTGCCAGGCTGGCATGCGGCTACAGCCAGAGCTAGCTCTCAAAGCATCTACATCTCCTATTTCCTCACCCCCTTTCTTGAATAAGCCCACTAAAATCTAGCTCAGGAATTGGTGAGATAACCAACATGCTTAAATGTCCTCCTCATCACTGATGTTACTTCTGCAAAGCCTTACTGCTTCAGCTGCATCCTCTTTGGCTTGCTCGGTCCCATGTGAGGGTTACCAATCACTGCAGGACACCTGTCCTTGCTTTCCCAATGTGTTCCTACAGCCCAAAAGTATATTACATGTATAATATACATGTCATAAGCCTGAGACAGTGCTCAAACCAAACTCACTTTGTACCTGTGATACATGGGCACTGGCCTGACACCTGGTACAGGCCTGACCCACTTTGGAAACCTGAGCCTGAGCGACCAGCCTCTGCACATAGCGACCATGGACAGTTCAGGCTCAGCCTGGCTGTGGCGAGGGATGTGATGGATGGCAGGCAGCCCTGATGACCTGGGGTCCTCCTAGCAGGGCCCCAGCACCCAGACACCGAGAGCAGAGGGAATCTGTAGAATGCCCAGCTGGAGCCATGTAGATAGATCAGTGAGCGGCCCAGGTTTCAAGCTGCCCAGGTTTCAAGCTGCTCCCTGATGCCAGCAGTTCAGTGGATGCACCGGGTCACCCTCGACCTCACCATCAAAAACTTATATAAGAGCTGAGCCACCACTGAGGCCTCGTATCATGGAGGAAGTCTTGAAGGCGCAAAGGCAATGGGCACGCATGCAAGGACGTGCTGGCATGGCAGGGTGGCTGCTGCTGCATGTGCCTGTTTGGAGCCACTAACCCACCTTGAATGCTGGCAGGAGCAGACTCTGCCACAGAGAAGGGTGAAGCAAGGCTGGCATAGAGCAACCTACCCCAGAAAATCCTCCCACCTCACCACCTTCCTCAACCGGAGGTGGCATTTGTGCACGTAGTGTTTCCTGGGGAGTATTTTTTTTTCTCTTTCTTTTCAAATCTGCAGTCATGTGAATACCGAGCAGTCACAGCATCCTGTGGCTCAGGGTTCCCCAGTGCAACACCACACTCTGTGCAGATCTGCTTCCAGTTGTTTGCTTTGAACCTGCCACCTGCTACTTTTATGTGATGTCCCTAAAATTCTTGTCTAAGAATGAGCAGTGTACACAATCACTTTCTATTCTGTAATGAGGTCACTTTGTCTTGAGTCACTGTTGTCCAGGTGCCCACTTCTTTTTAATTCAATGGTAAAAGCTCCAAAGTGCCTCAAGGAGACAGATCAGGCGTTTGTAATTTTTTTCATTTTTCCTAAACATTACTGACACGATGCATTGCAAAAGTCTGCCATTTATTACCAGAAATGGCTGAGACTGCAAACAGCAAAGAAATACCACCATTGCCTAGGAACGTGTAACCTATTTGTACAACCTGCATGCATCACTATCTGCAGACACCTGCAAACACACGGCCTCATTCATGCCCCTCCACAGCACAAGCTCTTCTGCCCTCGCCCCAGATGCACGTCCACCAGCATCCATTCTGCCAGGCCCATGCCTGCTTGTGTGTGTGCCCATTGCCTTTGCTCCTCCCAAGACTTCCTTACACTTAAAATACAAATGACGTCATAAATGCCACAACCATATAAATGCCATTGTAAATGCACTCTGTGTCCATATGCCCACACTATCAGCATGTACCCCATCCAACCCTAACCTGATACACACCCTTGAATGAATTCTTCCACCCCACGCCTTGTCACGACATGCTATGCAGCTTCACAAAGAGCAAGGGAAAGCCCTATGTTGTTTGAAGGAGACGGTCTGTCCAGCTGGAAATTCTGCCTCTTAGTTGTTTCTGTGCCAAGCTGTGTTTCAGTGGCCTCCATCTAGCCTGGGGTGAGAACCCTGGACCTAGCAGAGCTGCTGATTTTGCCCATTTTCCTAGTCAATCTGGTAGTTAGAGAGATAGGTCGAAAGTCAGCACACAGCTGGAAACGGGGCAGTAGGTGTATTTTCCAAGCATCATCATGCTTTGTAGCACACAGATGGTGAGTGTGCCACAGGTGGGCTTTGAACCCTGTCAAACACAGACCCAGGTGAGCACAGGGTCCCCTGCTTGTGGGTGACTGTAGGAGTACAGAGATTTCTGCACAAATGAAACATACAGAGACATGAATATATACATCATGTGTGTGCATGTGTGTACATACATACATGTAAGACAATGTTTGGACAAGACAAGCCAACCTTGTGCGCTGGCTGCAAAGTGACTCACCGAGTCTCAGGGCACACATAGAACAACTCGCTTTGCTGCTGCTGTGAGCCTCTGTTATTTTTATAAGGCCATAGCATTAACCTAATTAATTTAATTTAATTAGAGAACAGTATTAGCCTAAACGGTCCCACTTAAATCACAGAGAAGCTGTGGCCAAGCTCTTCAAACAGCTGCCTGTCCCCATTCACCCTCCTGCAGATGGTGAATTCAGCACGCCCAGGCTGCACCTTGGCACAACAGTCCTCCTCTCTTCACAAGGTTTGTTTTCTGCTCTGAAGGGAAACACCTGCACATCTCCAAGTGAGATCAGCTCAGAGCAGAGAAAGATCTCAGCTTAGAAGTTATGGCTCCCCCACCGAGCCACGACCCAAACCTGGTGGGAAAACTAACTCTGGAGCCAGGAGCTCCAGCAAAACAGAGATCCTGAGGGACCTACACCAAGCTGACCACGCTTGCAAAGCGTTTCACTTGCGCCCCAGCCGGCGCATGTGCCTGCTCCAGTAGTGGAGGGGGAGTTTGCACAAGGTATTTTGAAAGCCCCAGAGGTGAGCTGTCCCACACTGATGTATGCCAGAGGCAGCAACAGAGTGCAGCAGCTACAGCAAGGAACAACAGCCTTCAGAAGACCACAGCTCAGCTCTCACTTCCCTGGTTTCTGCTGATGGCTTCTGCAGTGGTCTTGGGCAAATCCCTCCCCCATGCCAGGGTCTGCCATCCAAGCGAGGCCAATGTCCTTTAGCCTCTTTGACAGCTACACTGGTAACTATAGCTGAAAGGTACCCCATTAAGATTGTCGTGAATACCACTAAGCTGCTTTCTTTTCGCTTCAGAGTTGTCACCATACCAAGGTTTAGCATCATGTTTTAACACAAAAACTGCCCTGTTTTGTCATTAAGTCACAGACCCAGCCTGCAGGGAGAGAAGAGGGGTGGGCACAATTGAGCTTAACCCAAACTCATGCCAGGGACCCAGACTACAGCCCTGGGAGCAGCAGAAGCAGCCCTACACCTCAGCCAATTAGCTGACCACACAGAGAAAAGTTTTATGCCAGCCTTCTGCCATTCTGCCTGCTGTACTCTGGCTTCAGTGCAATAGGTGTCCATACCTCCAGCCCAGCCAATATAAGGTTGGCACATCCCTCTCTGTGCATTTATATACTTATAAACAAGCTTGACCTGGCAGAAGCCTACAGATGATCAGGCTTTGTGAAACCATAGCAGACACTGTGGTTTGAACAGCACGTAGTGCCCCAAAGGTGGGTGCACTGAGCAATCAGGCTGGTTTGGAAGAAATATCACAAAGAAAGGCAATTCTGTACAGGAGGTAAGAGAGTAAAGGGCTTGGGGGAGCCAGCAAGTCCACCTTACAATCCTTGTAAAATGGGCCAAGGCCAATTAACCATGAGCTGCAGCTGTCAGAGGGGAGGATTTCAAGATAAGAGAGATGGCAGGAAGCCTAGAGGAGATCAGAGCTTGGAAGGAAAAGTAGAAAAGGCCTCCTGGGAATGAGTCTATGTAGGACTGCTAAGGGAATTTAGGCTAGTATCTCTCAGGGGCCCTTGGAAAAGGGGACATAGGTAATAGCTCTGTGAGATGCTGGTTAAGATACAGAGCTAGGAGTGCAGGGGAAAGACAAGAATTAGCTCAAGGAGATAACAAGGGGTGGGGAAACACACACCACAAGTACCTGAGGTGGAGTTTTTAGAGTAAGATCCAGAGGAAGGAGTGAGCTACAGATATGCTACAGAGGAGCATGAGTGCTCTGGCTGTAAGCAAAAGGGCTGATGAGAATCTTAGGATAGAGATGTAAGACTTACAGAGGCTAAAATTATAAGAGAAAGACCAGCTGTGTGGTCCCCCACCCTCCTGTTCTGGGGGGTTAGAGACTTCCAGCCAGGTCACATTCAACACCCCCAGCAATAGGCAGGTCACTGAAAAGCCAAAGCACCTTCTTGGTGAGAGAAGCACCAATGAGGGCCAATATACCATATCAGGGCTAGTCAAAGGAAGCAGCTACCCAGGGAGCTCCTCTTACATGCAAAGAGTCCAGCATTCATTTTAGAAAAGTTCTTGCTATTTTATTTTCAAAACCATTCTCTTGCAGACATGGCCTAGGATTTGGGAGTGCCGTGTCACAGTTGGCTGTACTCCTGCCCCTTCTATATACCTGCCCATAACCACCCAGAAGATAGCAAACACAAGACCCAGTAGAGGTGTGAGTAGAGCAGCTGATACTTTATTTCACTGTTGTTGGTTTGTGGGGTTTTTGTGGTTTTTTTTGTTTGTTTTTTTAAATTCTTCCTTCTGATGGAAAAAAAAAAGACAGAAAAGTTACAAAAGTACTAAAAGGCAACAATACCGGCAGGACATTCCCGTTCCCCACTGCCACCCGGGGGAAAGGCAGCCTGCTGCACCCGTGGGCTGGCAGCAATGTGTCTCTGGGGCTAAGCACCTTGGCAGCTCTCACTGAGCAAAGCCTGGGGGCACAGGACCATGTGGGGGCTGCTGCCCCAGCCACCTGAATGGGGAATATGCCTCCTTCAGACAGGTACCAGGCTATGGCTGTCCCTTCTCCTGAGCACAGGGATTTGGTCCAAAGGGGCAATGGTTCCTGTCCTGCACTGGTCAGCTTGATCTGGCAGCAGTTAAAAAGCTGAGGTGTGCCATCAAAACAAGGTAAGTAGAGTCCCTACAGGGGCAGGAGGAAATCAGCCTCTGTTGGACGAAGGGACTTCTTGCAGGGAAACACAATGCTCTGCCAGAGGTACCTCACCAGAAAATACAAGTGACCCCTTGGAGGTGACGCAGGTGCAAGCCGTGGCCCTGCTGTGATGGTCTGGAGCCAAAGAGCAGGCAGAGCTGGGGCAGCATCAGGACAGATGTCCCCTCACCGCCTTGCCCAGCTGCTCTGCCTGCCTGAGTGAGAGGTGGTTGGGGAGGGAGGAGAGTAGGGGTGGGGGATTGAGGTCCCCAGACCTACACAGCCTCTGGGCTTTCATCCAAGGGTCTCAGTGAAGGGCTTGGAAAGCACCAGTGAAAGCTCGTTCACTGTGAGGCCTCCCCCTGGCAGCTGGACTGACCATTGGTCTTATCCAAAGAGTGGCATCAAAGACCTCCACACTGGAACAGATTTAAAAACAAGAATTATTTTATATTACTCACAGTTGCTCCTCTTGATCCAGACAAGAAGTAAACTACTCACTCCACCTTGCACTTAGTCAAATACAGGCTCAAGGTGGGGAACACCTAGACAAAGAGGTTACTCTCTCCAGCAGGTGCAGCAAGGGGAAATGCCTTGTTCCTCTGCCTCACCAAGAGGTGAGAGCTTGTTCTATTAGCTGTTGCCTTGTGACACAAAACACACACATGCTTTAAGGCCAGGTCCCAGTCAAACTTCAGTGGTCGCAAGGTTTAGCATGGTCATAACTGTCTTAGGACTATTTGTGGAGAAATGTCCCACAGTTTTACCCAAACTCCCCTCCTGTTTCTTCCACCAACAGGTGGCCAAAACTCAGAGACCTCTCATACTCCATGCTACATCTGGGAATATTGTTCCACTGGTACAAGAAGAGACCACTTGAATTTAACAGCCAGCATAACAGGAGAGTGGAAAGTTTGCTGGAGACAGATTTGACAGAGTTTGGCGATACCAGTTACCTTCAGCATCATGTTAGGGCAGCAGGTTTTGGGGACAACACTATGGAGAAGTGTTGCATATCCTAGAACACAGCCTCAGCAGAGAGGAGACCCAAGAGCACAGTCACCCTCAGGTACTTCTCTGATGATGCTGAGAGAACTGAGGGTGAGCTCTGTGCTTTCTTGGATGGCTCAAGACAGACATCCCATTCTAGATTTTTATTCTAACCACCAGTCTACACGTGGGAGGCTGATGCCTCCCATTTCAATCCCATTTTAGATGATATCACTGAGTTGCCAGCAGACCAGCTGGAACACAAATCTAGATGTGCCAGTTACCCCCTCCCACCCTCCTCTCCTAGGGTCTTCCACACAAGAGAAACTGAAGTGAATGCAATTACAACAATCTCAGAGAGGGATCTTCTTGCTTTGCAGCCAGCCCTGTATAGTCCCTGTCTCCAATCCTGAACTCAGTTCTGAGTAGGAGAAGGGTTGGGTCTATAGCAAAGCACTGTAGACCTAGGTACTCTTGGAAAAGTGACTGGACTTGGTTCACATCCTGATCACTTATCCCTGCTGCCATGTAGGCCATACCAGCCCCTGAACCCCTCAGGGATATCTTCAACTACCACCATACTTGTGTTTGACACTGCCTTGGTGGCTGCCCTTGCAGTTTGTGGACCTGACTGGTTTGTTCTGCCCTGAAAGACAAAAACTTCTCCCTTTGCCACTATTCAGATATGGCAATGGTATGAAAATGGGCACTGCTGCAAAGTAATATGCTTCCAGCTGCCAGAGAGGCTGTATTGCAAAGATGTGTCATTGTCCCATTCTCCCACCCATTCCCTTGGGTATCACCACCTCCCCTTCTCCCTGCCAGGCAGGTGGTTGGTTGATAGTTCCTGAGGTTTTTGGAGAAACTCCTTCAGTAGGCACATGACGGTTCTTCCACTGGAGCTATCGGGCTCAGTGGCTTCAAGGTGCTGAGGGAACGGAAGGCAAAGGTGGATGGATCATACACAAAGTGGGGCGGTGGGCGGCCTCCATTGATGCTCTGCAGGGGAATAAAAAGAGGGACAAAGTCAGCTCTCATACAAGCTGCAAACAGTGATGTTCTTGCTTCAAGTGCTTTGTCACATCCCTCTCTGGTAAAATTACCTCCTTGAATGGGTAGTCATGCTTATACTTGCAGCAAATAGCACTAACAAACAATGAAATGCTTTGCTCATGTCCTTGCTCCTACCCCTCAAGAAAAAAGCATGCACCGCACTGTCCTGCCCCTGCCTCCAGGACTGAAGCCCCAGGGACTCACGTGGCCAGGACCTATGGCACCTGTAGCCACTAAGTGAAGCGGGATATCCATGATACATTTAGAGTCCCAGAGTCAGAACAGCATCACTGCCATAAAGTATCACATGGAAAAGCTAAAATCAGATTCACTTGGCCTCAAAAGAGGACCTACTACACTTTTAAAGTACGGAAATAAACAAAGTCATCTCTGAAGACCCATTCTTCAGTCTTATTTTTCAACAGATCTCCAGTAAGGATTTACAAATCACCCTTTCTTAATCTATAAAGTTTCAGACACGCTGAAACTCTCCAGAGTTTTGGCTCCAGTCTCTATAGTTCAGGGAGGAATAACCAAGAGATGCTTGGAGGAAAAGATCCCACCTGAAATCCTTACAGCCTGGTTTGTACCACAGCCAAAGACCATTCTCTCCCCTTTTGCTCCCAATGTTCAGAGCATGGCCAGAGCAGATTTAGAGTTAGGAGGCCAGAAATACCCATGCACTCCCTGCACTGCGTGACAGGCCAGAAATGGTGTTCTCCACTAGGCTGTGCTGGGACCTGTGGATTCCAGATGGATTACCATGCCAAAGTGATTCCACTCTTAAACAGGAAGTGTTTTCCTTTCACTTCTTGGGAACTTTGTTGCATTTCTTTCCTTATGCAAGCATAAGCACCAGTGGGGCAGCTGCTTCACAGATACTCTTTGCCAGGAGTGGAGGTCTCACTGCTCTGTGGGCCAGCAGAGTATTTAATCGTGATCCTGCAGAGTTCATTCCCCAGGAATAGGTGTGATCTACTGAGGGTCACATGCTGGGAAGTTCAGCAGCTCAGAAACTCATGCAAATATCCCCTACCCTCATCTTACTTCCACCACTGCTGAGAAGGTCTTTTCTAACCTCCATGAAAACAATGATAAAACCCCAGTGAGAGGCAATCTGGCCTGAGCTCTGGTATTATATGCTGCTCTGCTGTCTCTTCTAGGCCTTTCCTAGCAAGACCCATGGTTTCCATTGCTCAGCCTATGCTAAGGGACTGTTCCTCAAAGAATCAGGCTTTTTAGAAACAATTACCAACTCTGCTGTCTCCTTTAAGACAGAGGTTTATTTTGGCACTTCAAAGTCAGGTCTGTCAGACAATGGCATGGCAAGGTGATGTTTTGACACTACCTACATCTGTCCCAGCTGGGTTTTAACTTGTCAAAGGACAAGCCCATGTAACTTTTCCCAGAAAGCTGCTCAAATGGTCAGGCTCACCCAAACAGTCATACCAAATTAGAGAGCACAATGGCAGTGTCCAAGCCCTGAAGCAGAATCTGAACCAAGATCCTGAAGCCTCTGCCTCCAGGATCTTGGTCCCAGCTCAGCTCCATGGGGCAGCGTTCATATCAGCAAAGGCCTCTTTAAAAGCCAGTGTGGGCAGCATGTTCCCTAGTTGGTACCTCCTCTGCAAATTAAGATGGGCACATGAGAACAGAAAATGCCAACATGGTGCTTGGCATCAGCTATGCCTGGAGTTTCAGCCAGCAATCATGCCCTGCTACATCCCCCTGACACCTTGGCCAGCAGCATAAGAAACAAGAGAGGCAGATTTAAGGGCCTTTACTCAATAGCCACCTGCTGTGGGGTTATATACGGTGTGTGCTCTGGCAAGCCTCAGAGCTGGAGGGTAACATAGCAACCCCTATTCAAAGCTAAGGGGCAGAATAAATCAGCACATTTGTCCTTCTCCAGAGCAGAGAAGGTCCCCTGCCAGTGCCAAGAGGGAATGGGAACAAAGAACCTGGCAGTCCCCTCCATTTTGAAATGCCAGACAGGATTAAGGAAGGCATCTGAATCAGTTCATTTCTGGCGTACGGCAGATGAAGAAAAGGCTGGGGAAAGACGGGTCCAGAGGACAGACAAAAGTCATCTGCAAAATTCACCAGGCTTTGGGTGGGAAAGTGCCCTGAGGTTTCTCTCTGGATCCTCTGCTGATGCCAATGTGTGGTGCACAGTGCCTTCCCAGGGCACTGTGAGGGAGATAAGCACAGAACAAGGGCTGAGGTGAAGGACAGGGACATGAAAAGGCATGAGAATGCACAGATTCACAGGTGGTCAGGCAGCTGCAAGTAAAGCTCAAAGTGCACCCAATCCTGCCTCTTCACTGTGACACCTCTTAAGTGGCCACAAGACAACGGCTAGCTTTCAACAGCACAGCCACCCTTCAGGGTGAGAAGGGCCCTGTGCCCAACTGCAGGCAGTAACAGGAGAGGCAATAATGCAACTGCCCTCATTCATGGCAACATGTTGACCGACCTGCAGTCATTTATAACCCTGAGTAGTGTGGGTCTGCCTTACACCTACCCCACAACTGACAGGGCAGCACCTCTGCTGGGGACCTTGCTGGAGGGAAGCACAAGCATCAGCATCAAATCATTCTTTTCTTACAAAAGAGCATGTTTCCTTCAGAGCTTGTATCCTGCTCTAGGGATGACCAGGCCGAATCTGGCTTAGTCCATGACACCATTTGGGATCACAGCATGTGGTGGTCTGGCTCTGATGAGTAGCACAAGGCAAAGCTCTATAGATGTATTCCCAGAAAGAGGACGGATAGGGCCAGCTGCCAGAGAAGAACATGTTCCTCCCACCCCAGCGCTTGGGCCAGCTGCCTCCCTGCAAACTGGGCAAGTGTCCTAGCCAGCCCGCTCTTCCTCTTAGGTGCCCAGCACCAGCCTGTGATGCCTGGGACATTGCTTTGACTACAGAAGGCTGTCAGAGTTGCTGCTGCAGCAGGCCTGGGGGAAGCTTGCCATAAACCTGCCTGACAGCCCCAGCTGAGCAACCCCAGGCCAGCTCCTGCAGAGGCTCCTCAGAGCACAAACACTCCACGCTTGACATTAAAGGCCAGTGCGTTCACTCTAATGGCATTCAGGCAGCTGGGTAACTAGCACAAAATGGAGCCTAATATGGGCCCTGCACTAATGGCAATCATTAACCAGAGCCCTCAATTTGTTAAGCAATGTATTTACACAGCTGGAGACCAGCCTGAGATACAAGCACTTGGCTGCCAGCAGGAGGGTGCACACACTCAGATGCACGCTTTGTCACACACACATGCTCACTTGCACACGCTCACCTGCCCTCACATGCCTCAGGTCCTTCCCAGTACCCATGCACTTCCCTGGGCACTTGTCCACATCCCTCTGTGCACACACCAGCCTCCTCCTAACTTGGAAATCACAAAGAGGTCTGTCCCCACTCATATAAATCTTGTCCGCTCACATTGTTTGAGACAAACAGCACCCGAACTCCACCAGCATCCAGGGGACAGTCTATGGGAGTACAGCTCATCACTTGCTTGTACAACTGCCTGGAGCAGAAGGTAGTTTCAGTATCTGCAGACATCCATGCTGCCTTATTGCATGCCTCATTTGAGTTAGATGAGCTCCTAAGGGAGCTAGCTTGTGTTACACATGTTTCAAGCAACTAGTAGATTGCCTCAGTCACACATGCTTGTCAGCCAGACACACACTTCTTCCCTCATATATGCATGCCTATGTATTCACTCTTGCAAACTGGGACTGTAGTCACCAATTGCATTATCACTATTAAATACAGGTGGTAAATAAGCAACCAGGCTTGAAACATACCTGAAGAACATAAAAGAAGCACACCTAAAGATGGTACAGACAGTGAGTGGATGCAAGTGTCTCAAAATGAGATTGAAATTCTGAATTTCTTGTGGTGTTTAATCATATTAGCAGCCCTTATAAAACAGAAATGGGCAACTGCTCCATAAATCCATCTGTAACATTATTATATGTTTTGGCAAGGAAAAAGTGCATAGGAAGAAGATAAACAGGTAAAGGATAAATCTGCTAATACAAACCCATATTCTTCCCAGAAACCTGTCTCTTATCCCTGTGAAGTCTGGGAAAATATTCCAAATGCAGATTGTGAAACAACTTAATTTTGGACTCATGATTCCACAGAAGTGCAGTTCTCTTCTTTGTACAAAACAAAAGCAAGCACAACTCTAAGCATGCTTTCAGCTGTGGGAATGACAATCCCTACAGGAGGGGCAAAATGAAGTTACCTAACACAACAATGTCTTATAAGGGAGTGGTGTGCTAGGGGTGATATGAAACTAAGCCTTGCTTAATACTCTTTGGTCCTCTTTCATAACAGCTCTAGCATCCTGTCGGGATTCAAAATCGGATAAACTTGTGCACTCTGCCAACCCGTCCCCTACTCAGGGCCAATCCAGCACAGGAATCCCTTCTTTCCTACCCTTGGGCCCTGGCGGTTGGGAAATGCCACTGAGCTCCATTTAAAGGATGCTGCCTTCCAGCTGTGGATGCCTCTCAGTGGTGGGTGAATGATCCCTTTGCAGTCTGTAGACTCACTTGTTAAAAGTCCTTTGGGATAAAAGGCACCATGTAATTGCAAGTTGTAAAGGCGCATCCGATTCCCACCACCACCCTGTGTGGAAAGGAATAAATCCCCAGAAGAGCCTTGGCAAGGATGGATGCCTGCCTGCAATGCTGCCTGTTTGTAAGACAGCTGCCTTGCCCAGAAGTGGACAGAGCCAGAGGTGGTAGATATTCAGGCAGGCAGAAAAAGTAAAGGCTGTCAGACTCCAGTGGAGCATTTACAGGTACACTGCTTTTAATTCCACTTTGTCCTACTTACTCTCACCTCTGCCAGGTGGCTATAAAAAAAACTGGTGACACTTCAACTTTGATGTGTGAAACCATCATCTGTGAGCAAGGGATGGGGACCCTCA